TAACGAGTGGTCATACATGACTATATGTTGTTTAGTTCAAAAGTTATTGCTATTCTAGTTTCCTCTACCCCCAACTTTTTATGCATCTGAGGGTGCTAACTTTTCAGACAAAACACTGAATAGCTTCATTACTGCCCGGTTTCAGCATGTCCACCCTCACTAAAAAGGTGTCCCAGGAGACCCCCTACAAAAATCGTGAGTGATTTAGAAGCCCTCTCGACTCCCAAAATACCCCTTGGCTCCAGGAGTATAACCTTGATATTGCCCAGAGTTACACCAGAATGGCTTTGAATAGTAGGTCTGCCCAATATCCAGTCCATGCAAGTGTTGTAAAGTGTTGATGCAAGGGTACAGCCTTGCCTCACTGCTGAATTAACAGAAAAGAAACTCGACGGGCCGCCAACACACTTTTCAGCATTTTCAATACCAGTATACAGACTGATTCCTGATGCACTGTATCGAATGCCTTCTTGAGGCTGATGCAGGCTGCAAGCAACCCTTGCACGAACTCACGACGGCGCTTTACAGTGACTCAAAGCACAAGGATATGGTCTATTGTGGACTTTTACCAGGAGTGGATCCAGATTGCTTTGGTTTTTGATGCCTTAGCAGGTGGTCTCTGATATGTCTCAGAAGGATGTGGGCGAGAATCTTGCCTGAGCGGTGCGATGCCTCAGTGATTGCTGCAGTCCCATCGGTCCCCCTTTCCCTTCTAGAGGGATGACCACACTCCTCAGCAGATCAGGAGGAACGGTACCGGACCGCCAGATAGCAGCCAGGGCCCAGATTCACTAACGCACTTACGATGGTAAAAATCACTGGTAACTATGTTACCATGGTTAACAGACATTGGTTGTATTCACTAACAACTTGCCATTGGAGTTACCATGGTAAATTTTACTTGGTCAGTGCACTGGTAACTTCTGGGAAGACGATGTCATCACGTGTTATACTAGAATGCAGAATGAACTCTTTAAGAATTCTTCTCTGACATAATCATTACAATTGCTATAGAAAACCTACGATGCTGATATATAAAGTGGCAATACCAATGATATAGACGAGTATAACAATATCTGTGTCTGTCCCCTTCCAGAGAGGGATGACCACAGCCCTCAACAGGTCAGGAGGAACGGTACCGGACCGCCAGATGGCAGCCAGGACAGCATGCAACCCCTGCACCCTGGGCTCACTACCAGCCTTAAACAGTTCAGCTGGAATGCCGCATATACCTGCTGCTTTACCACGTGCTGCTGTCACCTGTGAAGAGGGCTTGGAGTTCACGGCTTTTCAGGGCTTGGTATGCAGGACGAAGGTCATTTATTAAGAGATGGTTTTCTACTTCCTAATAAACTGTTCCTTGTCCCTTCTTAACAATGACCGAGTTCTGTGCACCTGAGATCGGTGCAAATTCCGATCCCCTGTCAGACGAGCCACACAACAAGCATCTGTGGCATCCAATGTCTCCTGCGAGACATCAATCGTTTTTTGAGCTGCCTCAAGTGTTTCACGCTTGAATGTATCCCACAGGAGTACAGGGTCCATCAGATTTTCAAGCACTGCGAAACGACCACAGACTGTGTCTCAGCAAACTCCCCCTCCCTTAGCCTGTCCAAGTGAAATACCCTGGGGTGATCATTGGACCACTGGGGAATTTTGAAGGGGACCCGGAGGGTAGCCACAACCAATCTATGGTCAGTACCACAGAACTCGGCACTCCTATACATCCTGCAGTTCTGGAGTATCCTCCTTAGCTGCATTACCCGCATCACTGTACCATGTCCAATGATGTGGGTCTCAGTGGTGGCACCAGGAGCCAGAATTCTTCAATTTCTGGGACCTTGCAAAGTCCCAGAAAAGGAGGCTATTCTCGTTGTCGGTATCAGCTCCTGAATCACGAAGACGAGACATCTCATAGCCAGCTCGATCGCAGCCAGATACTGCATTGAAGTTAACCAGAACAATACGAATATCTTGCTGGGAACAACAGATGTAAGTTTGGCATAGAACATCTATGTCAAGTTTACAAACATCGGTAGGAGCGTACATAGCAGTAAGAGACATGAAGCCAAATGCTAGCTTCAGTCTCAATACCATTATATGCTTATTGACTGGAGTAACCTCTACCACTGAGGGCTGGTGCCTAGTGGAGATGGTGACCATCGCTACAGCCTGATCAATGATAGATGTACTCACCTACACTGGTCGTGCCGCTGCCAGGTCTTCCCACATCTAAGAGAGCAGCCACTCCAACTCTCAGCCTCATCATTTCTCTCGATAGTAGAGGCAAGCAATCATACTGACGCAAAGAGCGGATTTTCCAGGCCCCACCCTGACTTCCCGCCTGAAGTTAACCATCGGGCAGTCACTCCAGGTGGACGCCACCTATGCCATCACCATCGATGCTGCCCCACATAAAAGGGGGCGGCAGGCTGCGGGACCCAACATCCACCTGTGGGGTTCCATAGGGCTTTGCCCCACAAGCTTCATTCCTGGGTGGCGGCTACCAGAAGGCGGGTGGGATGAGTAGCTCCCATTTCCATCCTTGGCCTCATCAGTCACCTTCCCAACAAGACCCACAGCCTGCCTCACTTGCTGTGCAGGAGGGGTGGGGGCATGTCCACACATCGATGGGCCATGACCCTACCCTGTACCTCTGTGGCCTCCTGCTGCTCAGAGATCCCCTACAGTTCAGCCTGGGACCGCAGGTACCAATTTCCATAGGTAGCCACAAGTAGGCACTGCAGAAGCCTTAATGACGAAGAGGCTGTGCACTGGCAAGGGAGACTTATGCAGAGCTGCTTCCTTTTTCGCACTAGGCAAGCCAGCAGTGGCAAATGCAAGCGAGAAGGAATGCAAGCCAAGTGCCCACGGGGAGTGAGTGTGAAACTTCGCTATCCTTACTCATGCATGAGTAGGTAGGTAATCTCTATGGATTATGAATCTATCTATCTATAAGCGCATAGTTGTTCACTCCTTTTATAGTGGGTCTTTGTACGAGTGGTAGAGTGGCCGTCTTGCATTCACGTGCATTGGCGGCGAGGGATCTAATTCCGATTGGAGAGGTAATAATGTTCATGTGATAAAAATGCGGTAATGCATTATTCCATCTTTCATAGAATGCACCTCAGGTTACCTGATTTAAGATTTGTCCTGCTCTGTCCGTTAGTACCGAGTGCCCACGGGGAGTGAGTGTGAAACTTCGCTATCCTTACTCATGTATGAGTAGGTAGGTAATCTCTATGGATGCTAATAAGCGATTAGTTATTCACTCCTTTTATAGTTGGTCGTTGTAAGAGTGGTAGAGCGGCCGTCTTGCATTCACGTGCATTGGTGACAAGGGATCGAATCCCGATCGGAGAGGTTATAATGTTCATGATAAAAATGCGGTAATGCATTATTCCATCTTTCTTAGAATGCACCTCAGGTTATCTGATTTGGATTTCTCCTGCTCTGTTCATAAATACCGAGTGCCCACGGGGAGTGAGTAAGTGTGAAACTTCGCTATCTTTACTCATGTA